GTGTATATATATATATATATATATATATATATATATATAAAGTTAAAAAACATTGAGTGTTTTAACTGATTGATATTTTTATTATTTCTTTTCTTAGTTTTAAAATTTATTATTGCTGCATTAATTAATTTTACCTAATGAAATTACTTTCTTTCTTGATATGTGTTAAATTCCAACACATTTGAAATTACCTTTTCAAAAATCTTTTGATTCTTGATATTGAAAGTACAGATTAAAGTTTTAAGTATTTTTTTCTCATAATATATTTACAATATCTTTGACATTATCAGATTTTCTATAAGGAAATTTTGAGAAAAAAAAATTTAAATGAGTACACAGATTCTTGTAAAAAAATTTAGCTCAACTTATCTATTTTGGTATAGAATAAAAAATGAATATTTTAATGTAAAAATATATAGATTAAATATTTATTTATTTTTTGATGAATGACTAGATTTATAAATACAATCTGTTGTATTTATTTTGTCATTTTAAAAATCAAGAAACCAAGAAAACCAAGAAAAAAATCACAATTTTAAATTAAAATTATGGTTTGGTAATTGAAACTTTGTTTTAATCTTAAAAGTATTCTTCAAATTCTCTTTTTCATTTAGTCTTTAAATTTCAATCATTTGCTTCAGAATGGTTGCTATGCATTTAAAGCTATGTATTATAATGAAAAAGTGTTTTAGGTAGTATAAAGTCTAAAAATATAAGAAAGATAATTGGTTTGCAAAAGCATGAATAGAAGTAAAAATATTAAAAACTAACGGGCTGGCAAAAGCATAAATAAAATAAACGCATGAAAAGATAAATTTAAATAATTAAAGCAGACGATAAAATTAGAACACCAGAAAGTTGCTGATTCTTTAGAATGAGTTTTGTGTGGAATTTGAGTTTTCATATATTCCGTTACGGGCACTTTATCTAGTTGTTTTATAATATTTTATATATCCTGTTACGGGCACGTTATCTAGTTGTTTTATAATATTTTATCTATCCCGCTACGAGTGAGTTTCCTTATATCCCGTTACGGGTTTTTCTTGCTGTTTTATGATCTTTTCACTAACCCGTTACGGGCAATTCATATTTGTTACTGTTTGTGTCGTTTGTAAGTAAAAGTTTTTTAAAAAAAACTGAACAATTCTTTATTATAGCTTGATACGCTACAGTAGTTAGAGCTTCTAAAATATTCTTATAATATATTTTCAATATTAATTTAATTTTGATTAAACATTTATAAAGTTTTTTTAATCATAAATCAAAGTTCTTACAGTGTACTTGAATTTAAAAAAATCCGATTCAAATCAAAATAATCATGAACCCTGGATTTAAGGCGATATATTATATCGACTTATATATTATATCGATATATTATATCGAGCAGGGGGCGAAGCCTCCTAGTTTTATTTATTCTATTATATTATATTGGTAACAAATCTTTAAATAGAGTGTCACTTTAGTTTTTGTTTATACATCGAATTAAATTTACTCACAGATCGATCTAAACTTCGATATCACCGTCTTTGCGATTGACGAGCTACAGATAAATAAATTGCATTGAATAAAAAAAAACAAGCGCGAAACTCACGGCATCTGAATTTCTAAGAAGCAATTTCATGACTGTTACATTTTTATAGATGCTTTTAGTATTAGCTATTAAATTTAATTGAATTAAAAAATATTCTTTCGGTATTTAAAAACTGAATTAAATATAAAAAGAAATATTTCAAAACAGCAATTTTTTTATATATTTAAATAAGGGACATACCTATATTTAAAAATGCTCAAGAAGAATCGATATATAAAAACTTAAGAAGGAAGAATTAACTGTGTTCTAATATGTTATCACGGTAAACAGCAAGATTTTTGGAGCATACTAGTATTGTTTGTAGGATACATAGGTTCGTTAAAGTTCATAAAAATTTTCATACAAATATTAAAGTTAAATAGTTTCATGTATCGCAGTGGACTGATCGTTTAGACACGGTTCCCAGCAGATCACCGAAGTCAAGCATCACTGGTTGCGGTCAGTGAGCGGGTGGGTGACCACTTGGATCAGTCTGCGTAGGGACCGAGGGTGTGCGGCATGGGTCCTCGTTAAACTGTGCTACCATAAAATACTCGATTTCACGTCCAGGTCGTCGGGCTAGAAAAGCGGGGGTGCCATCCCCTCTGCAGAGGATCAAAATTGTGATGGCATGTCTTCGGATCATCCTCCGGGATGCTTCCCAGACCGTCGCCCATAGCCCATTGTGCAGCTCTAGTGCGACATAAATGAACAACAACAACCACAACAATAGTTTCATAAATTCGAAAGCGAACGATCTCTAAGTCTCGTGACTTTTTTAATTGTTAAAATTTGCGCTAAACCATTAACTTAAATGACAAAAAAGAGCCTTAATAAAAAAATTTCAAAATGCATATTAGATTTTTACTAAGTGTTGCCTAGTTGCATTTCTGTTGGCAAGGCTCTGTGGCCACTGATGAAGTGTCGTTTGTTGCTAACATGCGTATCTTTAGTTCTCGTTTTTCATTCGTTTTTAGTTTTCGTTTCGTTTGTAACTAGATTTTCACATTTGTATTTATATTGCATTTATCAAAGCTGTGTTTTCGTTCTTTATTATAATTTTAAAGTTCACATGGTTGCAGTAAAGGAAGTCGAAACCTCCATCGCGAGTTATGTAGAGCAGCCATTTACCATTTTTTACCATTTACCATACGGTTATCATTTTTTCCCCCTTGCTACAGAACCCTAAATCAACCTTTTGGGCTGAACTCCAATTTTATAAAAATTATGAAAGGCAATTGTAAATGTATTAACCAATAAAAAGACTGTTTTATTTTTTAAACATGAAGATGAATGAAAAGTTTTCATATTTTTACCATTCATAATCTTGGATAAAATTTTATGTCCGATAGTTGTGTTCGCAACATTGGAGTTGAATCTAGACAAGCCATGAGTTGATAATGTTACAGAGAATCACCGAAATCGTGAGAATGTCGACTTTCACCGGTGAATGTGAACAATCACATAGATATTAATTTATTCGATATTTTAATGTCTGCTGAGGATAGATCAGGAGAAACAGCAGTGTTCGTAGTACCAAAGCAACTATGTGATATGATTTGATTTTATATCCGCCGTTGAACAGCTGACCCAATTTTGGGTTTACGACAACTAATGCTCAACTCCGTAGCCTTGTCATTTTGAATCCATCCGGAAGACAAGGAAACTCCTGGATCAGTACCTCCAGAGGTATTGATTTGTTACGGGAACATGGAGGACTTTG